CTATACAAACAGAACATGGTTTGAGGTGACTCCCACTATTGTTGGATTGGGACTACCACCAAACGCGAAGCGGAGAGAGGTAGTCCTAATCATATAACACCGAGAAGCAGAGTTCACTGCCTTTACCGGACTAATAAAATGTTGTATTTGTAATACATTAGTATACTGTACTTCGTAAATATTACACAGCAAACCATCTGACCTACATTAACCACTTCAAGCTGTGATGTTATTACATGCATATACAGCAGTTCACGTAGCAGGCATGCGAGTCAATTTTGGATAGCATTAGGCATGCACTGTACCTACTGTAGGTATGCATGTGTCAGCTAGGCCTACTTAAGCAGCCCAAACTTCTGTGACAGCAGTTAATAACATTAGGCCGACCAGCCCTCCTTAAACTAACATTACATTATCGCACTATATTAATTGGATTAACACATTATCAAAAATAAGTAATGAGTGTTTAACACTGGTGTCCTTGGATTCAATTAGGGTAAACGGATTAGTTTCCTTTTTTATGAGGTTTTAATTGTTCTTTACCGCCGAAAGTGTGGAATTCTAACGTTAGTTTAAGGAGGGCTGGTCGGCCTAATGAATAGGCATACTTGAGTATCTGGTAGGTGGGCAGCTCAATGACGTGGGGGGGGGGGCAGCACAGCACTGAAGTGCCAGGCCTTGTTGCGCCATTATACCTTATTCTTGTACGCTTCATTTTGTTTTGTCAACTCTCGCACTTTGGTGTGAAGATCATCAAGCATTTCCTCCATCTCTATATCACGTCCTTTCTTCATTGCTCCTTCAGGGGCTTGTTTCTTCTTGTCATTTACCAGACGAAGTAACTTTGTAGCCATCCTGTTGAATTAAATAAGACATACCAATCAATGTGTCATGTCAAAGGGTGCAAAAGTCAAAACTTCTATAAATTGGGTTCTTATGGTGGTGAATTGGGCAGTACTAAATATCCCCAGAAAAAGCGGCAAATATTTAAAACTTCTCTTTCCAATTCCTTGGTATTCAATTTCAAATAATTAATTAATATTCTTGATTTCAATCCTTTCCATTTAGGTATCAGTGGTGGATCTAGGAATTTGAAATAGAGCGGGAGGCCAGGAAGGGACTTTGAATCCAAAACTAAATATGTGAGGTGTAATATGGTTCCAGTGCAATGTAGCTCTTGACATCACCTGTGAGCATATAATTGTCAAAATTAAGTAGGTTGCTTGCTAAACCTAATGTTTTTTCTCACTTCTTAATCTTATCTTCTTGTTTCCTTGCATGCCTCTTGAGGACCAGGTTTTCATCATGTAGACGTAAATATTTATCCTCTAGCTCTTCACGTGTTATCTTAGATATTGCACGTCGTTCCTTGGCACGTCGTTGCTCGCTATCACCTGAAATAAAAAATGGTTTCTATGCAGACAAGTACACAACTTCTTTGTTTTGCTGAAAAAAATACCTACAAGATTAAAATCTAGTTAGTTTAAAGAAGATTTAAATTTTTTTTAAATAAAAAAGAATGAGACAGTGGGGATATGGCAGATATAATCTTGATAGTATGTTGTAATAGTTTTTGAGATTCATACATGGATATATGCTGCCAAATTAACTAAAATAAGGAATAGTCCAGGATTCAGGTGCCATTTATTTGCAGAAAATGACCACATGTTTAGTTGGTATTTTTTGAAAGGTCGTCCAATGACATATCTGCCGGAATGATTGGTCAGAGGTCAATAAAGGTCATTAATGGTCAATTTTACTATGAAATATTAATCAAGAATATATCAGTGTAATACACCAAATACAATTATGTTCCACATCACATGAAAGCTTATAAAATTGTCTATCCATTGATACCAAACTTGTTTTTATATCTTCTTGTTTTAGGTACATTTCTGGGGTACTTTTTGTTTTCATTTTATTAAAAAAAAAAAACTAAATGAACAGATATTTCAAAAATTCTCTCTCAGAATTTGGCCAATTATATGATCGTGACATTAAAACAAACACGGAAGACTGAATTCATATACTTGCTGATTATAATCAATTTTAATTTCTAACACTCGATAACAGCAAAAATCATATTTTATAGATGCTTGGAAATGCACTTTCCTGCATTCTGACTATATGTGAATAAATGTACACTCTAAAATAATAGATTAACCTTACTTTACTATAGATTAGAAAATTAATAATGGTGATAAAGAAGATGATCATGATGAGGAGGAGGAGGCAGCATGCTAGGTGATGACGGGCTCCTGTGCAAGATTAATTACTGGGTCCTTTGATGTTATGTGTCAACCGAGGCCCGAAGCAGGATTTGGCAACATTTTCGTCGTCATCATATTTTCAATGCCCTCAGACGTCTGACAATAGTACAGTATTTGTCCATTGTCCACAAGTTATGTTATACGATTTATGATATCTGTTTTGTATAGAAAGTGATATGAGACACACAAAATATCAGTTCGGGCATTTGTTTACTTCTGTTATATCTGTCAGTTAAAAATATAAAAATTAATCAAATGAATAGTAAAAAATAAAAAGAATTTAAACAATTTTAGGTGCTGATTAACATTTTCAGTTTTTCTTGAAAATAAATCAAAGAATACACAATTGAAATGAACACAATAATTAATAATTATCCCCTTGAATGTTATTTTGAGTGATAGATGAATTCCTTGACATTGAAAACATAGGTGTGGACACCAAAACTAAACATTTGGTCTAATACTACTGAATTTAAGGAACCACTTAACATTATCCAAATTTAACAACCATTTGATGTAAAACTTTTCTATTAAAATATAAATAGGAAACTTTTTAAAAAATTATAATTTTGTTTATATACAAATGAATAGTAAAAAATAAAAAGAATACCAGTAATATTCAAAAGTAATCAAACACATGCAAAATCCAATCTAAAATCTTGTGCTAAATACACCCTGGCCCTTAATATAAAGTATGAGAGGAACTTGCATTATATTTATTCAGGTGTAAATACCAAGGACAGCCCATGAAAGTCTAGAAGAAGACTTATTTTCATTGGGGTCCTTCTGGTGGTTACTGGGCAGTACATCGGGAGACAATCCCCCACCCTTTTCCGAAGAGTGTATTGCGTTCATTAACATGCACAAAGGGACATAAATGCACACGGTACCAACGGCTTAAACGTCCCATTGGAAAGACAGTAGGCTATTGTAACTTGCATTTTAGCCCTCCAGCTGAAACACAAGGAGAGGCAGTGATGGGAATTGAACCAGGGATCTAGAGATCTCCAAGGTTTAGCACACACAGAGTGGCTACCACCAGATGTTTTCCCTTAATTCATCTGGGGTGGTGATGCATGTGCTATTGTTTGTGGAGTGTCCAGAGAGGGGCCCCACCTGTTCCTTACTCTAGACATCATTGTCTTTTGCAGAGCACGGTAGTAGAGCCGAGGAGTTATTCGAAGGTGGAAGCTACCTGAGCCCAGCATACTGCCTAACGGCGTGCCTGCGTGCACCCGGGTGTGTCAGCGACATTGCTTTCGACATCGGTGGGTGGAGCCCTGTTCTGGATACTTAAACCGATAGCGCAAATGCATTTTCGGAACTGTTTTAGTTTAAGTACCGTAGTTTAAGTCAAAATTTATTTACTTGTTTGCTTGTTTTCTTTTCTTTTTGTAAAGCGCATTGAGGCTTTTTGCGGAATGCGCTATTGAAGTATTGAATTATTATTATTATTAGCCGACTGAGCTAAGCTGCTATCTAAGCTAAGTAAACTGCATGCTCTCTAACTCGCCAAGTAGTATTTGCTCTCCCTACCTTTTCCTCTCTCAAAGTCCCTGGAAGCTTTTTTTAAGCATTCAAGCATCACACAAGCTGTATTTCTTTGGATTTAGACAATTTTAGGTGCTGATTAACGTTTTCAGTTTTTGTTAAAAATAAATCAAAGAATACACAATTGAAATGAACACAATAATCAATAATTACAGTATCTCACTCTATGCAATATAATTTTACGTTCTGGATGTTTGTAGTGGGCCAATTTGTATGAGAATTAAACAAACTGGGTAATTTTGAGTCGCTTTTAGAGCAATGATGCATTAGATCAAATAAAACATTCATGCCATAGACAATTTGAAAAAGGAGGCTAAACTCTGCAACTAGTCGTTGCCAAGATATTTGAATATACATGTATTGTTTCTATCCTACTTTGCATATGAACTACAGTAATTTGCATATGGGGGGGGGCATGTTTCTTTAATTTCTTTACCCCATGTGTTCCACTCCAAATGCTGAAATGCCTAACCTAAACCAATAATACAGTACAGTATATACAATTTTTAACAAATAAATCACTAAAAATCTGTTTTTTTGCCCCAGAAATATGGTCATATGGTCAATGGCATTCAATAGGACATACAATTGACTTTAGGACAAGGTGCAACATGTCTGTGCTTGGGTACTTTCTCTTTGATGTATGGGACATATTTTTGGCAAATTTTACCCTATTTTCGAGTGTTAAAAATTTTAATTGATTATACTTAGCAAGTTTTATGGTTTTACGAAATACGTTTTTTCTTTTAATGTCACGATCATATAACTGGTCAAATTCTGAGAGAGAGTGGTTGAAATATCTGTTCATTTAGTATGTTTTAAAAAATATAATGAAAATAAAAATGCCAAATTATGGCAAAAAATGACAAAATTTTGTGTTTTTACCCCAAAAACGTACCTAAAACAAAAATACAAAAATAAGTGTGGTATCAATGGATAGACAATTATAATGTGCAATATAATTGTATTTGGTATATTACATGTTTTATAGTCCCGATTATTATTTCATTGTTAAATTTACCGGAAATGACCTTTATTAACCTCTGACCCGCTATTCTAGCAGATGGGTCTCGTCCGACGGGCAGTTACGAGGCACCTGATGACCTTTCGAAAAATACCAACAAAAAGTGTGATCATTTTGTGCAAAATAAATGGCCACTGGCTCCCGGACTAGAAGAATTAGCGACCACTACAGGATAGCTAATTCTTTGAAAAAATAGATCAAAAATTTACATTATAAAAAAACATAAAAAAACAAATTGTACTTACAATTCAATTAAAAATAACTGAACATAATACAAAAATTATTTCAACAATATCATTAAATTATAAATACAGGACTCCCTCTAACTAAAGACCATTTCTGGGACCAATGTTTCCATGGTGTTCAGCAGTTTCTCTTCGAATAATAAACATAGAAAAACATTTTTTAAAGGGGTCTTTAATTGGAGGTGGTTTTTATTTGGCGGGGTCATTAACTAAGAGAGAGACCTGTACATTATTCAACTGCCCATGGATCATAACAAATACACATCTAATTGTTTTTTAACACTTAATAATCACACATTTAAAAATGGAGGGGGGGGGGGAAGACATTGCATTACCAAGTTATATCATTCAATTCAATATCAATTCAAATAAACATTTATTTCTTCCTTTCAAATCAAATCAAGCAAACAATAGGATCAAGATGATACAATTTTTTTTAAAAGGCTGAAAGATCAAAAAAGCGCAAAAACAGAATTTGATTACTAAAAGGGAAGAGGACAGTGCTCAAAAAGGAATGCCAAGTTAAGAAACAAAAATAATTCTCACTTAGACACTTGTGTCAAGTATGCCCTGAACAATATTACAACTATATTTATCCAAATTTAAAATGCAGGACACTAAACAAGAAATTATTTATCACATAAATGCTTTTACAATAGAATACAATGACAAACCAAGGCAATTCAACAACAGGACGCACATATCGTTTTAACTCTGGCATCAACATTCAACGTGCTGCGCACCCCTACACGCTTGCCTGAGTTTAACGTGCCTGATTGTCACAAAAACCATAACCACCAAATCATAATTAACTGTCAGCGTGTGACGAATTACTCATGTGTGTGTGTTAATAATCATGTGTCGTGTGGTGATTACAAAGGCCTATATTTTGCACAAGTTTACAGTAGTAGACTGAAATTACTGTAAATTCGTCATTTCAACATTAATTTTACCAATGAGGTGGTGGTGTCCGGTGGTTCATGAGACTCAATCCGCAGAATAAATGAATAAATTTTCTGTATCTACTTAAATGTTTGTTTTGTGCACCTTAGCCCAAAACTGTCAAAATGACATTTTAATGTTATAACATGAATTTTTATGAAAACTCATAAATTTTCAATTGCTATATCTTTTTATGTTGTCGGTCAATTTTCACGAATTAAATTTTAGTTTATAAAGCACTTAATAGGCTCGTGGTCAAATGAAATATGATGTAACAGACATTGCGAAGTACCCAATATTAATAAAAAGGTAATTTACACCATAAAACCTGTGGCACACATAGATTAATAATTGGCGGCTGTACTCACAACTACTGTAGTATCAGATTGTCAATGCCACTGTTAAGATCAAAGGACTGTATGCACTCATTATGTTTGCGAGTGGAGATGTGCTGCTTGTTGTTGAATTGCTTTGGACAAACATGATTACGAATTTTGGTAAATAACTAATTGGTAGCCTACCAGGAAGGTGTGTCAAACCGCCCTCGTGAGATGGCCCAGCACCTGGATCTCGCACTGGTACATTATCAGTATCCATGACTGTCTTTGAAAATACAATGCTGAAAATTAAAGCAATATTTCTTTAGTTCTGATTTAAATTTCTGAGGACATATTTCGGAGGGCAGCGTCCCATGAACCTTTTTTGAAAGGTTTTTAGCTAATGTCAGAGACATTAACCACCACCACCCCCCCCCCCCCTTCGGGGAAATCTTAGCGCCGCCACAGATACTCTCTGCTGAACTTTCTCAAGTCCATCCGCATCTTGTTTTAATACAAAGGACACAAAATTACGGTACGTTTCCATACACCAATGCCATGATACTGTAAAGTTTTAAATTGCAGGATACAGTATCTCAAGAATCAGCTCAAATTTGCATGGAAAATCGCTAGGAAAATAGGTGTGCGGAATTGTAATTGCTGCATAATTGCATTGGTTATGATTTAGTCAAACAATGCTTAATTTTCAGTAAAATCTGTGCGGAAATCGGCCCATATGAATGCGCAGACAGATTTCTAGGTCAAATTCTTGCGCGGAGCTCCTTAGTGTTGATATACAAGGCAAATGGTGAAATATTTATGCCACACCTCTTATATTCATAAATTTATAACATCAATTAGTTTGGAGTTAAGTAACTGACCATGGTAATAAAACAAAATTAAGAATCTGATGTAAAATTTTGTGTACTATTACAGTATACTATTGAAAAAGTTAGTTATTAAAGTATGTAGGTTGACTGAAGTGCCGAGAAAGAATAGGCGTCATAAACCAGTTGATGTAAGTGAGGGAAATTTTCGTCAGCACGTACATTGTTAGCTCTGGAGCAATCTCTTAATTCAAATCAATTTCCTTGAACCTAGGACTAGAGCGTTAGCTCGTTTGTCCCTCCAGAGTCATCATAACAAACTCTTCAGAAACATATGGTTTGGGCGAAACTTGAGATGGTGGCCAAACCAACATTTTGCTATGCCAGACTTAAATTCATTAACAGTTGAAGCAGTTACAACATCTTGAGGTAGTGAATTCCAATCATTAACTACCCGAACCGCATATGCTCTTTTCCTCCCATTAAGATTTGGTTTGGATTTATAGACTTTTAAAGAATGCCCCCTAGTTTTATGGAATATAGACCATAAAACACACACTCACTACTCTTGCAGCAGCAGTGCACTAAATGACGTCGCACATGTATCTGCGTTTCTATTGGCTAATCATGATGTAATATCATTTACCGTACCTTTAGTAATCGGAAGTTCCGATATGGTACCGTATATAGCCACGGCGAACAATTAATTAATGTCTTTTTGATAAAGAAAAGTGCATCCATGAACTGCCACCATACTCATGTCTTATTAGTGTATATAATAATAGCCTACTATTACTATTATGCCTAGGAACTAGGGCCTAGTAGAAGTAGTAGTAGTTAGGCCTACTAGGCCCAGGCCCTAGCCTAGCCTAGGGCCTAGCTAGGCCTTTAAACTAAATTTTAGGCTTAGCTAGCTAGGCCTAGGCCCTAGTTAGGCTAGGCCTGGTTAGAATAAATAAAGGCTTAGGCCTAGGCCTAGGCCTCCATTAAAAGAACATACGTTGGATAAAAATGAAGTAGTATAAGGTTTACCGGCGTTCACATTATCAATATTACATTAAATTAAAGCATACTGCAGGGCATATTGTCGATTCAAACGATACAAAACAAACAACACTCACCACCGGCACCACCGAGATGGTTGTTTATTGTTGTTGTTATTTTCAATGCGCATGCGGTAACTCACGGTAAACGTAATAACTCAGCGGTAACGGTAACTACTCTGCGGTAACTTTGGTCATAGCGCCACCCCACACCACCGAAGCTCAAAATAATTTGCACACCGGATTGACGTCATTTTTATTTATTGAGGAGCTGGGCTTCGATCAATGGTTTCATGTGATTGTGACGCTTATTTCTCGTTTAAAAGCTGGGCCCATAGTTAATAATAGTCTGTAAGTTCTACATTACTTACAACTAAGAAGTGCAAACTTTATATAGGCATACTATTTTTGAGAGCAATCATGAGTTTTTCAAAGATTTTTGGTGGTAAAAAAAAGGAGCAAGCGCCAAGTACAGGAGAGGCAATACAAAGATTACGACAAACAGAGGAAATGCTGAATAAAAAACAAGATTTTCTTGAAAAAAAAATTACAGAAGAATTAAAAACAGCAAGAAATAAGGGAACAAAGGACAAACGAGGTATAATATGTCACAATATTGATTTATTGTTCATTGAGAAAAGTTTTATCATTAGGCCTGGTCTGAAACGAAAACTAGGCTAGGCCTAGCTAGCCTCTTTCCTAGCTAGGCCCTGCCCTAGTTAGGCCATGCCCCCTACTACTACTAGCCTAGGCCCAACTGCAACTACCTAGGCCTAGCGGAATCACCTGAGTCCTCCATAAGGCCTAGTTTTGGGCCTATATTACTGTTCAAACTGCATGGGTAGATCATCGTCTATAATGCAATTTTAGGTCTTGATAGTTATTTCATGCTTTCTACATTTTTTTTTTACATTTTTTTTTTTACATTTTACAACAATAGTAGTAGGGTGTCCAGAGATAGCTTCCGTATTGTGTGCCACGATAACGCTACTGCGCGTCCATCGCTAGGCATGCGCTATACTAACGCGTTACTGGTAAACAATTTTGATTACTGATGATAATAAATGAGCTATGAAAAAAATTCTTTGAATGTAATTATTTTACCTATTTCTCTGTAATATCAAAGATTCAATATTTCCATAATGTCAAATCAGTTACATGAAAATTAGGCCTGAAGAGAGCAAACCCATCTAGCGCGTACAGCTGCACATCAATACAGAACCACCCTGGTCAGGACCATGCTCGTTTTCATTCCGGTTTCTGTATATGTGGCGATGTCAAGCCAAAACGATCGGAAGTCGCTAAGACGATTTTAAGATATAAAGGCAAAACAATAGACAAGGTCAAATTTGCTCATTTTGGTGTTTCATTAAAAACATGTATATTAAGTATCTAAGAAAAGGATTCAAATAATATTTTTCACATTTAAGTACCAAAAATACTGTAAAACGTAATTTTAGTTAGACACTCGAACCCGGAAGTATGAAAAACGAGGCAAATCATTGTTTAAATTACTGTTTTTTTTCAATCGTGTTCCGGGGTCAAACTCGTGTCAAGTTTGATATCGTTGGAAAGCTTAGAATGTCAGCTACAATTTTGATTGGTCAGTTCATCCTCACAAATTGTTTAACCAATCAAAACTGTCGTTTTGGTACTGTAAACAATTCGGAAGCGGCCTAGCAACAAACGGAAACACGCATGCTGATTGGTCTAATCCAGTTAGCTGACCATTTTTGGGGCGTGTCTAAGACCGCGTCGCTTGGGTTTTTGATGGAAGCCTCGGCAAGGTAGTAATGCGCGTTACATGTTTTCTTTGAAGCTCGAAGTTCGAAGTTACTTGTTTACTGCTGTAATAATTATAAAACAATAATACTGTTTCTGAAAGTTCGGTAGTACAGGTACATGCAAAATTGGCTATACTGTATAACACAGACTTGATAAAGTTGACGACAAATAAAACGCGTTCTGTAATAGTTTAACGCACTGGTTTCAAGGTCGCAGTGTTACAGTTATAAAATACATTTCAATCGGTCAGTGGTAACACCTCCGTTGTTAAGGAAGTATCGAACACACCCAACACATGTGAGTGAGCTACACGCTGAGCGCACTGCCAGCGACTGGGCGTTATAAACATCAGTTTTATCGTCGTTTCTTCAAAACAGTAGCTGCTAACCTCGCTCTATATAAATCGGTATATTTTTAGAACTAAGTATCAGAATTTAATAATTTTTTCACTGTTTTATTTATAATGTGATTATTCAGTTGATGAGTGTTAAATAAAAATTGGCTTTTCCGACTTCCGACCGTTTTTGCTTGACATCGCCAAATATGAGCCTCGCACAACCTAATAATTTTTTTTGCTCCTACGCCTAAACAAAATAGTTCTACGTGACATGTCAAATTCACTCTACACATGTTTTTTTCTTGATTTGGGGCATTTATAATTGAATTTCAGTCTAGTGAAAACCCATATATATGAAAAAGTATCTGTTTTTTCCATTTTTGAAGGAATTTTTTGAAAATTTTAACAGGCTCACATACAGAAATTATCAATAAACCTTTATGACGTAATTTTAAACGAATCGTATTTGAGCTTAGTCCAGAAATGCAGCATTCACGGTTCAATGATTTTGAAACAATGGATTTGATTGGTCAAACCAAACAGCGTGCCCAAATTTTTCCACTGCTGTACACAGCACTTCGCATCGACCACACGGTAAAACCGAGCGAGCGAGCCGTATTCGTGAAAGCCCTTAAAAACCAAAAGGCCTAAGTCGAGCAGGCCTAGGCCCAAGGCTAGCAGATACGATTTTTTTAGGCTAGCCCCAGGTAGGCCTAGGCCAGAATTTGAGGAATGCAACAAAACAGATGAAGATGAGACTTACTGTAGGCCTAATTAAATTCAATAGTTGACATGCTTTGTTTTAGATTAAAAAATAATAATGAACAAATCCCAGAGACAAAGCGTTAATCCGACTGTACCCAGCCCCATTGTTTGCCGTAATTTCACATGTTTGACGATTACCACGATGAATGTGTATATCACTGATTCATGTGCACTCATTTATTTATTTTTTGTCCATTTACACACATTATATATCAATTATAATTAAAAGTGAAAAACTTAAAATACAAAATGAAAACAAAGTAAAGAAGTAAAACATAAGTCAGGTTTTGTAAATTTTTAATAATCTTCCTTCCCCGGACCATGGTCTCATAATAAAACACTTGAATGGTCACGATTTCAACTTTAACCTTTGAATGTGTACAGAGCAACCGTGTCATGCCGGCCCACGACGTTCTCTATGACTCAACTGGGCCTAGGCTGTTAAGTTAGCGATGAATAGCAGGGCAGTGCAGTATTTTGTTACAATTAACGTAACCACGGAAACATTTATTGTATTCTTCTTGTCTTTATCAGTCTATTTCGTGAATATTTACCTGGATAACCGACTAATTGCCATTGTTCCCAAAACGGAACACCCCTTCGAAAAAAAATGGAACAGTCCGACCCAAGGCGCCACGTCCGAACCGTGCGCCGGCAGCCTGGGCGATGGAACTAAACTGGTCCGAAGCCGACGAATCCTCCAGCGGTGGAGGTGAGTCATCCGGCGCCGCTACAACCCCCGACGCAGCCGGCAGCGAACCCTGAGATCGAGTGGCAGCCTGAGCTGCCCAATCCAGAGCCGCCGCAAACTTAGTCGGGGGCCAGCGCACACAAATCTCGCAAGGCTCAGCCTTGCTACACGAGCGACACAATGGGCACTCCGAGTGCCGGTCGAGCTTAACACTCGGTTTTGGGCCCCCACACGCCGAGCACAAAGACTTGCGAGCGGACATGCCGATCGAGACTACAAGAAAAAAAGGATATCTTGTCAAGTTGAAAATAAATCCAAGACAAAAATAAGAACAACTAATTGCTTGAAAAGACTGCTAGTAATTTTCCAAAGGCTAGAATGTATCCAACTTCCAACAACGTCGAAAAGGGAATGAGGACTTTTGTTAGGGAGACGGTTCGCACGTGGCGCCTTGGGTCGGACTGTTCCATTTTTTTTCGAAGGGGTGTTCCGTTTTGGGAACAATGGCAATTAGTCGGTTATCCAGGTAAGTATCTCACTCATAGACTACCAACATCATGATTGATTTGTGTAATTTAGCTTGTCTATTGTGTTTAGGTCAAACTAATATTATGTTACAATTTGTAAACTGTTGAAATAATAGTGGTGGTCAGGAGCCTGTAAATCCTGGTCGGAAATGTTGAGTGCTGGACGGGCCCGTCCACCGCCGACCAGCATGGTGACATCCCTGACCTTCAAAATGACACCTCACTTGGGTAGGTGCAGTAAATATGAAAATTTGATGACGAGGTTATTTTAAAGTGAGATACCTACCGTAAATTGTATAAAAATGTTCTTTTACCGTTCAAAATTGGTAAAAATGTTAATGTAGCATGGATGTTAGATGCCTTATCGTTAATTTTAAGTCATAAAATACATTTCGATTTTTTTGAAATTTTCAACATATAACAGCTTTAGGCTTGATTTTCTCCAGTTGACGATCACCGACAAGCGACTGATTTGGCTTGACCGCGCCACGTATATGATCTTATTAATGTCACCAAAACAACACAAAAGTCACAAAATTTATCGACATCTCCACGATACAAACAAGAAGCTTCAAAACCTGGAAGTGAATTGATACCAAAATTGAGCCAATCACTAAATAAGAGCCATTACCATTTCTGGAAGAGGGAAAAAAATGAATTCCAAACAAATCCAGATGTGTTAAATAATTGCCTTGAGTAACTGCGTACCCTTTCAGAATAATACATTTTCATGATTTCAAATTGAATAACGTCAGAGGGGGAATTGCCGAAAATTGGAATAAGACATGTAAATTTCCATTTCTCGGCATGTGGTATATTACTGTATAACATTATGCAAGCTTGATTGATCAAATTTGTAAATCTTCATTTCATTGATGTGTTTCTCAAAATATAAGCTATTGTTTGTGTGTCTTGTCTCTTTACTTACACAACATTTTTTTATTAATTTATTACCAAATTACACATTGGTAGGATAAGGGATTACAGTAGGCTAACAACTTGCTGGTACTGGCAGAGCGTGGTGGTAGGGTAGGGGTAATTTTCATATCGCGTGTCTAATTACAGGGAAAAATTAGCAGCCATCGATTTCTTAGTAATCTAGGTCAATACTATCTAATTTATTTGATAAGTTACCTTGGATTGGTTTCTATTTAATTATTTGTCTAAGATGGCTCAAACTAAACCACCCCCCTCCCCCCAAACTCAGTCACATGTTTTTGACCTCTGACGACAATGAACACGGAGAAAAAACAAGATACTGTACATTCGATTTATTGACAAATCATTACCATAAAACTTGTGTGATAATGATAAGTTTAAATATTATAAAAATAATGAAGATGATGATTAATTAAGTAATTGTAGATATTAAACTTGATACAGTATACCCCTTTGCCAGAGATGTCTCCAAAAATTCATCCACCTAAAGTAATAAAAATAAAAACATAATATTTCGTTGTGAGTTTTTTCTTTATAATATCAAATGAGACTTTATAAAAAGTTATCTAACATACTGTAGATTAAATTTTAATAAACATAAGTACAAGGATAGGACTAACAAAAATATTCGCACAAATGGGAATTTTATTCCATTATGGGCTGTAAAAAAGGTTACCGGAAATTGGGTGCCAACATCTGGTTTGTGCATGCCGAGAGTAGGTATAGAAACCTTCGGTCGTTAATCAATCAATTAATTAACGATTGTTTATATTTACAAGTAAAATGGTGAGTATATAATAGTTACACTATGTAATGACAGTAATATTCATGTTGAACTATAATCCTATTCCATGTATACATTATTTTTCGTTTCACCTGCCGAGGATTGGTCAGCGTACGTAATTAAAATGTTATGGACGAACATGTTGGACCAGGGAGTTGTTTTAGTCACTATAAATAACAACTCCCTGGTTAGACCATGGAGGAATTGTTAAATAATGTTTCCCCAATTTCGTGATTGGGTGGGGGTAGGGGAGGGCTTACTGTATACCAGAGTAACTAACATATTATGTGTCACTGCCAATTTGGTACCCAATATTAAACTTTAAATTGATCTGGTTGTTTTGTAGCTGCCTTGAATGCATTAAAAAGAAAGAAACGTTTAGAAAAACAACTTCAACAAATTGATGGCACACTATCAACAATTGAGTTCCAAAGAGAAGCACTAGAAAATGCCAACACAAATTCAGAGGTTTTGAAAACTATGGGATATGCAGCCAAGGCTTTAAAGAATGCACATCAGCATCTGTAAGTATTTTTGGCAAGACTGTTTGGTTCCAATAAGAACCTTTGCATTCAACTGGGTGTCATATGATAACCTTCATAGTGGTGCGGCTGTGTATCAAAAGTTTGTAAACAGGCAAACATGACTTTCCAGAAATCTGTTTAAGATTTTTTTTTTTTACCCAAACTAAACTGGATATGATGTTGTGCCCTATTTATTGGTTTTCTATTTTGACAAATATTAAAAGCCACAATAAGGACAGAAAATACCCCATACTCCTGAAAAACTACAAACCGTGTGGTACTTGGCAGTGGAGTGTTGATGAATTTTTGGTTTCGCCGAACTGTCTAAAATGTGATGTATGCGACTCTAGGGACTACACTACCATGGACAAATCTTATCTCTGGAAGCCTAGCCAAGACAGTAGTACGGACAATAAACATGACCTACGTTCCGAAAACTTCATTTAGATAAATGTATTCGTCATAAACTATAAGTCTCATGTTATTATTCAATCGCTGATTTGGTTGACAATGATTTAAGAAACGATCGGTATTGCATGTAATTTGTTGTTCACACCAGGGAGATGTAAAAATAGCATCTCCTCACACTCCCAAGTTTTTGCGGAGCAATGTAGTCCTAAATCCATTTGAATTGTGCCAAAATCACCTATACTTCTTTAATTAGGTAAATTTAAAGTATTTATCAATCGCATTACTACACTTTTTACATTCATCAATAACTTTTCTCTTCCGCTTTGTGAAAAATGATTTTGCTATACAAGAAAACAACATTTTTTCATTCCTGATGGTCTTTAAAAAAAAAGTTATCTAATACAAGGTATAAAAATAGTCTCACCTTAATACAGGAATTATAACAACAGCTCTTTGAAGATGAAGATGAGTAGTCCACAGTATGTCAGTTTGGCATCCTTGTAAAGTTTCTATGCTCAGTATGAGCAGTTTTGTGTAAATCAACACTCAGGGATATGGGTCAAGACCAAAATTTGGTTGGAGAAGTTTTTGGTGTTTCAGATCCTGTGTCTTAATGAGAAACCTCCGAGACTGAGGAGGGAGCAAGGAAGTTTTGGGGCATGTAGCTGTCATGAAAATGGCAGCGGTATT